TGGGGGCTCTATTTCCCCCCGCCGGGGAAGCATAGCCCCCCCCCCCCCCATGTCGGGTAAGACGAGTAAATTTTGTCGGAGAACAAACAAATAAAAAAAAATATTTACATGTAATGTTCATTTAGCCACCATATTTTTTTCATTAAACTATTTGTGTTTTCATCACAACAACAACAATAATAATAATGATAAAAATAATAATAATAATAATAATAATAATAATAATGACAATAATAATAATAATAATAATAATAATAATAATTAATAATAATAATTCAATGAGACTAATTAAAAATAATTTGCATTCTGTTTGATGCTCGTTTGATAGCCTCATGATGCTTGGAATACATCGTGATAGGTGAAGCAACCTCGACCATGACAGCGTAGTTGACAGATTTCATGCAAATTCCAAATTATAGAATTTCACTTTCAAGAATAAGGATTTGAAAATAAATTAGATGGTTACATTGCATAGGCCTACTCTTTGTTTCTTGTTTTATTCAAATGTTTTGGTTTTTGGAGGCTGATTTTTGACATTAGAAAGCATAGCCTACATGAAGTTTTTTAGTACGTTAACTCGATCCTAGTATCAAATAAGTAATAAATATTCGCCATTATTCATCAAATATCCGCGGCCCCCAGCCGAGTGAGACTCGATTCGCTCCACTAGCCACCCCCCCCCCCCCCATCGGAGCCTTTAGCCCCTCCGTCGGGCAGGTCCAGGCGCCATCACTGTCGTGCTGGGATTTAATATTTCCGATTCTTCTAGGCCCATGAAAATTTATTTGGATAGAGTTTACTGCATTTGTATTTCTTTATTAAATTCATTGCGTCTCAAGAAGAACATCACAAAACATCAAACCAGTGTAAATATTCATGAAATGTCATGTTCTACAGTTAACAAGTAAATCTCACCGCACCAACAGTAGTAGGTTGATAATGGATGATACAAGTCCGCCAGGGGAGGGGGTGGGGTTCGAAATCCCCCTTTTCCAGTTAATGCCCTTTTAAATTATTATAATTAATAAGTTTTTGCAAGGAAGTTGTTGAAATTAACGCCAAATTTGGCATTTTTATTGCCATTTTCGGACACATCTGAGGTGTTATGATATTTTTAATTACCCCAGCCATGGTGTCACCGAGGTACGTGAAAGCGACTCAAAGTGCCCTTTTTTGAAAAATTACTTTCAAAATCCTGCCACGGCGCGAGCTTGTGATAGGCAGGGTCCAGAGTTCCTATATATAGGAACTCTAGTAGGGTCTTCATGGCATTATCATTATTATTTTTCTAACAATTAATACTGTACCATAATCGTCGACGTAGTCACACAATTGACGATTGCATTTGCACACATTTTAGGCCTAAGAGAGTTCTTCAACTTTCATTTTTTCCCGCCATTTGAAATTTTTTAGAAAGTTTGTATGCTTTCTTTTTGTATTGCTTGCCTAATTTCTATATGTTTCTATGTTTTCTATAGGCCTAAAGATCTGACGAAATAAGGTACTGAAATAATTTAAGATTATAGCATTAAATAAGTTATACAAATACCCAGAGCATTTTTCGCACACCTCCTCGAGCCCTGCCCCTGCTAAGTTCAACGACGTTGGTGGGGAGGTGTCCAGTTCGCGTACGCACTATTCCCGGTATCTCAAATCATGGTTTGGAAACGCCCCCACAAAAGAGCTTTAAAAAAAATCATGGTTCCTTCCATGGGCGCTGCCATATTGTTTTGATTTGATAGATTTCCGGTATCTCAAATCATGGTTTGAAAACGCCCTCTTTGTGTAGAGTCATGGCGGCTGTGAGTTCGGTGGTGAGTTGAAAATGTGTTTTTCATGGATCATGTTAATATTTTACCACTGTATTTATAGCGTAAACTATTGTAGTTTTACTTAATTTAGAGATACATATACAACACTAATGTGCGTTTGTTTAATAATGTGGGTTAGTGACCATAACATAGTGCCTAGCTAGCCTAGCCTAGGACGTCACTGGGAGGTTTGATAGTAGGCCTATTATTTGTAGAAGGCTCCCTCCTGCCCTCCTGTATGTACTCTGATTAGGCCTAGTAAAGGCAGGGGTGTGCAAAAGTACGTTAACGATAATTTAAAAAAATAAATCAAAGAGTGAATAAAAAAAAGCGACAAATAGGCCTAAATTCGGGATGTTCCACTGTTTGTTTATATGATAAATTATGTAATTAATTGTAAAGTAATGCCTACGCAGGGAATAATTAGGTTAGGCCTATATCCTCCATGCAGAAATTAGGCCCAGAAATCTGTCCATGCATTTCAGTCAGAAAATAAGTGCTGATTTCCATGTAGATTTTGACAAAAATTAGGCTTTGACCTAACCTAATCTTCATTAAAATTATAACATTTTTTATGCAGTAGTTACGATTACCGTATTGTGCACCTATTTTCCTAGCAATTTTATGCGCAAATTTTAGTTAATTTTTTAGGTATTTTTAATTACAGTTGAACTTGCCTGAGTCGAATCCAAAATGCTATTAAAATATTGTTCGACTTAGATAAAATTAATGGAAAACACAACAATTTGGCATGTAAAAAAAGATCGACTTAGAAAATTATTTGACTTAAGCACAGTCGACTAAGTTTAACTGTAATTTTCAAGGTTTATTCCGAAATGTATCGCAATAAAAAACTGAATTAAAACAAATGGTTACAATTTACAGATATAAAATTTTACAAATATAAAAATATTATATATATGTGTATATATTTAAAACATCTATAAACAACAATTCAACAAGATATTAAAAACACAATGAATATAGTTGAAAAATTTACATCAAAATATAAGTGACAAAGTAATATGTGTAAAAACGAATAAAAAAAAAAAAGAAAAACTTTACTGTATGGCAGGTGTTAAGGCTCTATAAAAAATATTATTAGTTTATCACCCTATCTGGGCAGGAAAAGTGATGAGGGAGGGAGGTTTTTTTTTTTTTTTTAATTTTTTTATTTTGCTAAAGCCAAATATCACCCTTGGGTTGTTTGCTGGTGCATTGATATTCAAAGTAAAACATGATTTAGATAAAGCAAACAATATCTACTAACTATTTAATAAAATAAATGAAAAAAAATTAATAAATAAAATAATTTTTAAAAAAAATTCCAAAAAAAAATTTTTTTTTTTTTCAATTTTTTTTTTTTTTTTTTTTTTTTTAGTACCATAAAAGACATGCGCGCGAGGGTGATAAACTAATAATTTTTTTATTGGGCCTAATTCGTTTTTATTTTAGTACAGTAAAGACTTCATGTATAGAACCATATCATACTCATAGACAAAGTATATATACACCTTTTATTTATAATGTTAAGTGCACCCTCACTACTGTAAAAATAGCAAAATACATGTGTTAATGAGACATTTTAAAAAGGCAGGATATCCACATTATTTATTCACAGACATTCAAGGCTGCTGCAGATTCAGCTTGTCAGGCCGGAGAGGCATTCCATAAAATTTACTTTGAGACATTTGACAAGAAAAGAAACAAAATTGACACACTGTACCATGATACATCCACGATGGTTTGGAACGGGCATCCGGTTCGTGGTTCTAAAGAGATCACCGCATTCTTGGAGCATCTGCCAACGAGCGAAACAACACTAGAGAACCTTATGTGTCAGCCTGTCATTGGTACGTGCACCATCTAATCTAATTAAGTATGAATAATAATAATCCTAATAAATAGTTACATTTCTATGAATTAAAGAACTACTATCAATCTGAGGTGTGGAACAGTACTGCCTCCTGTATATAATTACACTGTGAATGTTGTTCCAACTATTTTACTCAAAGTCAATTGTTGGAGCTACCTTGACCTACAGTAACCTTAACCTTCAGCCTTACTATCTTAGTACACTACAGAATGTAGTGTATCTTCTCCACCTAGGCTAGAGAAGATGCTACCATTGACAATGATATAGTGCATAATAGCCCAGAGTAGACTGAAAGTAACTTGTCAACCACAATTTTTTTTTTAATTATTATTTCGTATCTTTTACAATAAATGCAACTGATTTATTTTTATTGTCTTTATATTTCAATAGACACTTTCACTGAAGGACAAACAACTGTTTTAGTGACTATATTTGGTCACATCAAGTTCAACGGTCACAAAGAAAAGCCCTTTACAGCTAATTTCACTCTTGCTAGGCCGGTTCAATCCAAAGTTTTCAAGATCTTCAGTAACTACTTTCGTTATCAAGAATGAAGAAAGCCTGATGATTGTCTGCCTGTAATTGCAAGGCACTCCAATCTTTTACATTAGTGGAAAGAGTTCAAAAGTTCAATGATTGGTAAAAAGAGCCAACAAGATGAAAATTGTCTCACCATGAAAAAGTGAATTGACCATTCGAGAGACAGTTGTTCTGTCATCATCATCAGTTTTAGTCTATTATTATTCCATGCAAGCATGGGTTAGACTGTACTTGTAATGACCAGCTTTCCATTCTGCACAAGCTCTTTTTTCAATCCCTTTGCACGAAGGTCATCTCTAATCATGTGAGCCCAGGTTTTGCAGGGATGTGAATAATGACCCCAGGTCATAAGTTGAGATTATGGACTTAGATTATAGACTACCTGTAACTTCAATAATGTTGCTGCATATTTTCCATACAGTACCTTTGTATGTGATAATTGTACCACCTTGCAAGCCTGTAGTTATTTCAATGTTGTAATTGTAAAATTGGACAATAATTGGATACCGACAGTCAATATTGTGTAGCAGGAAATAGTGAAAAGTAAGGCCTGCTCGAGGATAGGAAAATAATTAGTCGAAGGTAAAATGATGATGTCATTTGATTGATAATTAGTGAAAAATGTTTACCTCCCCATTAAATAGACGCATGCATTATTGGTAATCAGTTTCAGGATTTCTAATTAAAATAGAAAAAAAAAATGTCAATAAAACTGGAAGTTGGTAATATTCTAATGGTGTTTGCATCAGATTAGTAATAAGAATGGTATTTTTGTATCATGCTCAGTACGTTCCCAAATACTTAAGAAAAAAATCTTGTGGGTGGGGATCAAATCATGACCCCCAAGATAACTAGCCTGGTATCTAGAGCATTTAGCTTGTGTTTGAGGTACTGCAATGCTATTTTGGTGGTGTTTGATCACAATAAATTAAATATTATAATATCGCCAGGGAGTTGTGCGCTGATCTGATTAAATTGCGATTTAACTGGTTAGTATAAGCTTGATGTACATATTTGCAATAAAGAATTCCATTCCTGTGGTTATGTTTTTAAATGTTTTGTGTTGTGGTTTAATTAGCAGTTATTTAGTATAAGTAAAGGCTTAAAATAGCAAATTACAATTGAAAAACAGGGGGGGTTGTCTCATACGCGCGACATAAAAATTGTAGATTTTTTAATCATGTTTGTCGCAAATTTACTACTGCAATGAAGCTACTAAATGTTGTAGTATGAATAACGCAATTTTAAATACGGGGAAATAAAATTTTTATCACTTACAATGGTATTATTTGGAAGACTTGCCATGCATTTAGATGCAGTATCAGACCATAAAAAGCAACAAAAGTACACCCGACATACAAAAATCGTTCAGGCGGTATTAATGAGAGTTTGTGCTAAGAACTTAAGATCCAGCAAAGCATTCAAGATGATGGTGATGACTATTTGACTTGAGCCATTTTGTTTACCTTCCCTACACGCGACACTCTGTGGCAAAGACTTTTTATACCTTGTTTTGCAGATTTATTTTGAGGGAAAAATTAAAATTAAATTTTGGTTTTTCATTTAGCAGATAGTTTTGCCAAAAACATCCATACGGAGAAGAAAATAAAAATAAAATTTTATAGGTGAATGTAAGCAGTGTAGTGATGGGATGGTTAAATGTAATTTATGTAATTGGGAAGAAATATACATCTTATTTTTGGATATTTCAAAGCAGTGGTGAACGTAATAAATTTCTATTTTTCCGTGTCAAATTGGTGAGTGGAGGGTTCACTGAACAAGGTATAAAAAAGTCCCGCCTTATAAAGCATTAAGAAAAGCAATATCAAGCAAATATTTTCAGAAAATCCATATATTTTTCCTGGGGTGATATGTTAAACATATGTTGATAATAGAATAACATCCAAAGTAAAAATTAAACGGAACTCCCTACAGTTATTATACTGTACTGTACGTTTTCTCATAACATTTACATGGGCAAAGCCCTCCCTCCCTCCAACCCACTCACCCCCATGGCAGCAAATTAGTTCCAAGTGAGTTAAAATACTAAAAATGACCATTATTATTGGAATAGGGATTTAGTTCATCATTCTCAATTTTCTTCCCCCCCCCCACCCCAATTTCCTGATTCAATGGCCGGGGAAGGTAATTAAGCTTCCCCTCTTCACATCTCATATCTTGTTCATAATTACAAATTACCTTTAAAACAGTTTTGAATAATCGCATAACATTTTTAAGGACAGAATATTTTATTTTTAAGTAACGGAGAACTCGCAACCTTACAAAAATGATAACGAATACGTCATCATCATTATCGCCATTCGTGGTTAAAACATTTTTGACAATATACTGTACGAGCTGAATATGATCTGTCAAGTATGCAAAAGGTATTTTGTGTTGTGAGAGATATGCTACTGTTTAGCCCGGAAGGGTTGTCTAAAAATTTGATGACGTAGCTCTATTCGTTATCGTTTTTGTAAGCTTGCAAAAACTCCCTAATATTTATAATCAACTATTTGAAAATACCAACAGTTCGAATTTCTATGGTAACCAAATAATGTGACTGCTTAATTTTTACTTCCCACTAAACTAGGAAGAAATTTTTCAAAATGTACATGCAAACAAAAATAACATTGAAGGGCCCATGATAAAGTGTTAAGACTGTTTGAAACAGAAATACTCCTAGAAAATTGATGAATATTATGGAAATGGTAATGGTGAAGATGATTATGACGACAGCGACGTTATGATCTGTATGAGCAGAATTCTCTTAAATTCTTGAAAAATATCTTGGTTTGTAAGTAATCCATCAATATAATAAAAATAAAACTTTAAAAACAGTTTAAATGTTGCTCCTTGGTGTTTTGCATTATCTTCAATTGAAGGCATATGTAGTAAAGAAAAATCATAAGCATCAATGAATATTCATAAGTTACTGGCACATCTATGAATATTCATAAGTTAGTGGCACATCTATGGATTCCATTTCCTGTATTCCATGCCATCAGGTGCTTTAACTTCTGTCTTTTTCTTCCCTATGTCCGACCAGTTGGTACTCAGCACTGTGCCTCCAGATTCCGACTAAAAACAAATAAGAACAAGTAAAACAGTTAAAGATAATCTATGATAACATCTGGAAGAAAAAGTACAAATGAATTAATAAACACAAATATAGCACACAATTATTAAAGGTTAAAGGTTATTCATTTATACGTACATAAGATTTGTTCATGGCACGTCTGACTTCATCGCTTCCATCGGCGTAAATCTTCTGGAACAGATGATTAACGGCCGCTTCTCCCGTGGGTTCGTTATCTTTCTCAAAATCTTTGACAACTTTGTCCCAATTCCTTGTATAGTGACTGGAACTTGGGTATTTTTGAACAATATTTTCTTGTTTTTTGGTGTCTTCTCCGTCCCCTTGCAGCTTGCTCCACCTGATACCCTCCGCTTTTTTCATCTTCAGCTCAATCTGATAAGACATCATCATCATAATCATCATAATCATAATCATAATAATCATAATAATAATAGCACTAAATCGGGAATATCTTTTGTGTTATTTTCAACTTAACGTCTTGTTATTTTCCCTTAACGTCCTTTTTTAAATTGTTCTCTAATTTCTCCATTGTCAAAGTTCCAATTAAGGTCGGTTTTAGTTTTATAATAAAAATAATAATCATAATAATAAGCATAATCATAATAATCAATAATAATAATCATAAAAAAGTAATAATAATCGTAAACAAAATAATGACTAAAAACATCAGTCTCTCAACAATGTAATTTTCTGTAGTTTATAAAGCATTTCAAAAGCAATATTCAACTGGTTCGTTTCTTTGACAACGATTATGGCTTTGAGTATTATTTTCTTTCGACTGGTTCTTAAAATAGACTTTTCTGACAACAGAAAATAACGTAAACTAGAGTGCGTTAATTTGCAGTAAGTTATCCATGTGTCCAAAACAACATGGTAAGTTTAACATTTGCGGTTATATAATTTAGATTAAACTTCAAAAAATAATTATAATATTTATTCACAAAAGTAATAAAATAATTATAGGGAAATTCAGAAGCAGCATGAAAACATTTTTTTTACAAAAAACTCATACTTCCACAAACTGAAGCAACCTTGATCATTCTAGCGTGTATCGCAGTAACTACGCAGCCATTTTGTTTAACGAAGAATGACCAGTCGAATACGGCCATTATATCATATGTGAATGATCTGAAAAACAATTGATTACTCACCTTGCTACCCAAAACTTTGGTGATGCACTTTGCAGGGACAACCTCATAAGCAAGGTCAAGTTCTAGGCTGTAGTCAGTACCTGATGGTTGTTTCACTGTGGCACTAACCTGTAAGATAACACACAGCTCAGCGTTTGGCTAACTATCTCCAAACCTTTTTTTACCTTGTTTTGTGAACTTATTTTTTTTTAAATCATCAAAGGAGGGTGGGAAAAAAAATAAAAATAACATTTTGGTTTTCTTATTTACCAGAGAGTTTTGCCAAAAACATGCAGATAGAGGAAAAAATAAAAATAGACTTTTATTGGTGAATCAGAATGTAAACAGTGTAGTAATAGGATGGTTAAATGCTTTACTTATCTTTTTTCTTTTTGAGATTTCAAGGCAGCAGCAGGCGTAATAAAATTAAAGAAAAAATTTTATTTTTTTTCCTGATATTTCCAATTATTTTAACAGAGTGCGCGTAATTGGCCAAAATTAAAATTTTATTTTTATTTTAAATCATTATTATTGGCAGGTGGCAGATTCGCAAACAGTGTATAAAAAAGTCCCGCCTAAATGGTGCACTGTAGAACCAGCGGTGGCTTCAGACATATTTTGACAAGGTGGTCCGAACTAAAGCCTTGGTCAGGGTCCTGGAATAAAAAAATCTCTGGTAGAATCCACAGGAAAAGTTTTTATGACTTAGTAAGGCTCAAATTGTACTTTTTAATTTAGACTACAATATTAGGGATTGGCAATCAAAAGAATATTATTATTTAAATAGGCAACTTATTATTTTTGGTTCGATGACATCCTTGTTGGATGAGGGTGGTCTAGGCCTGTCCGACAAAGGTGCCACCACCGTTGGTGCCAGCACTGTGTGATTTCCATATAAGTTCTCTTCAAAATCTACATAAATATGCATATTGAATTGGCCAATGAAATGCTGTCATCACCTAATGAATATTTATGAGCTTTGTTTAAACAACTTACTGATCGTTCAGAGTAATTAATATCAACATCATCTTTGTTTGCCTTCTTGATCAGGATGTTAATGACAACATGAGTTTCTGTTTGATACCAGTCATACCTGAAAAAAAAATCACAATTAACACTAGGATTATTGCTGTGAAAGTACGGGTCTGTGTGGGTTCAAAATTGCATAGACACAATATGGCCATTGCCAATTTCAAGGAAAATATGGAGAATGATCGCAAAAATATGGCAGTAAAAATACAGGTAGCATTTTATTAACTTAAATAATTATTACACAGCCTTTCGTGTGCAGGCTTAATTGACTGTAGTCAAATAATGGCAGTTCACTCTAGGCTCCAATATCAAAATACAATGAAAGTTTACAGGAAGGTAATGAACTGAAGATATGGAGACTGACACAGACACACAATGACAGATAGAGGGTGCAATAATTAATGTTTACCTTTGTTTTTCAATTGGTGGCATGGGAATCTCCTTCTCTGTTGGTTCACTTGGAGCCTCAGGGATCTGTGAACTGCTTTCCTACAAAATTCAAACAATTTTCATCATGAAATAATTGTCCAGTTTTTGACTGGCAATTTATACAACTAACGAATTGACATTATAATTAGGATTCTATTGAATTTATTAGATAATATTTTTTATAAAAACCCTCTGATGATTTTTTTTATCTTTATTATTGTTTTTCCAAAGTTTTTGAGAGCTTTTATAGGGGTTTGTGTATATAGGTTTATTTTGAAATGTAATTAAGTCAAGGGTCAACCATACTTAGTTTAAGGTGTAAGTAAAGTTCATAGGGATTAAAATTACCTAATCATATTAAATACAGTAATATCAAAACAAACCATAGGCCTAGCATATAGAGGCCTAATGCATTATGAACTCTATTAATCCTACTTATTATTAAATACCCAGAGGTGACGGAACTAGGGGGTGCTGTGTTATGGAGAGTAATGCGTCTGCAGTCAGTTGGCTGTTACCATGCGCAAGTGATATTGGAGTATACTACACCAATATGAAACTATTATGTAGGCCTAACGAATGAAAGTTTCAGAAAAGTCTTGTTTTCTCACAATATCCAGAAATCAAACAAACTTGAAATCGATTTTGTTAGAGGATAGGGAAGTATTACCTTTTCACTAATTGGTTCTAGAAAGAAAGAAGAAAAGAGAACATAATTTAATATAAATAATAATAATGCAATGATTTAATTAATTACGTAATTAAGCTGATATTTGCCAATTTATATTATTTTTAATATTCCTGACATTCCTTTTCATCCAAAAATTAAAAGAATTAAATGATAAATATTAATATAAATAACATAACAAAATACCATAGGTTTTAATGTTCTTTTAGATCCAAGGACTGTAAAGCAAGAACACAAGGTGATACGTTTTTGTTTTTTTTATTTAAAGAGTTAAACTGAGTTTAATAAAGGTCAAAGGGCAATATCTTATGAATATAAAGCTACAAATCATACAATATATTTTATTATTTCTGTTCATATTTATCACTTTATGTAATCTGTGTACCTTTCTACAGTATAAAATGATTACATTTTTATCATTATTCTCATTTTACTAACTTTATTAACCGATTTAAAAATTCTAAACTTGACAAACCTTCAATGGTCGGTTTCGGAACCAAAGGCTCGCACTTCTTCAGCCAAGCTTTGATATTGTTATCATTTGGCGTAATCGTGTCTGCTTCTTGAAACTCCTTCAGAGCTTCCTCGTACTTGTCCATTTTAAACAGTGCTTCTCTAATAGAAGAATCATTATCTATTATTATTATATGAATGAAATGAAACAGAAAATTGGCATTTTGATTTGATTTGATTTAATATGCTCTTTAAAAAATTCAACAGAAAAAAATGCACATGAACAAAGAGCATATCGAGGATAACCCTAAAATTGCGAGAAAAGACAATTATTTCTATAGGGGTCCCCTACATGAAGTAATGTGAAATGAACAATTATAAAAAAACTCTGCAGAATAAAAACAACAAACAACAAAATGTAGTTAAATATAGAAAAACAGATTCAGTCCTTAATTAACCTTATACATATAAATATAATATACAGACACGCACTTATAAATATCATTTAAACATTTTGCAACTGTCTACACAGTTATATTGTTGAGAAGAAAATTTTTAACAGCAAATTTATATGTATCCAAGCTTTTGATGGAATCCGATATAAAAAATAATACAAATCAATCAAATAATGAAAAATATATAAATTGTTTTTATTTCATTTATTTATACAAAATTGCAAAGCAAAACAAATAACTTATCTATTCATGGTGTTGATCTAAATCCTAACGTTTGTTATCCAAAATTTTGACATATACTGATTACATGATGCATATTAATAATAATAATAATAATAATAATAATAATAATAATAATAATAATACTTTTTTACTGGTAATGTATTTATAAGTCATTAGATCTGTGGGCATAGAAAAAACATGTTCATAAAAAAGAACCGAGTTATACAAAAATGTTGAACGATTGTCTCCCAGTGCACTGAATACGATAGGCAATGCACTGCCACTAACACAGGTTCCCAGGGACCTAATTCAAATTTCCTTGTTGATTTTCAACAAGGACCATAAATAAAAATGTTATCATCGTATTTACTCACCCTAATCTAAGGTGTCCTTTATGATTGCTGGGATTCAGTTCCACAGATTTCCTAGCATCTTTCTCAGCAGCTGTTATTGGTGAAACACAAGGAACATAACTGTTATTATTAAGATGAAATTTAGGTTGGTAGTTTAATGAAGTTAACAGATAAGAGTGCAGTGATGTATCTACTGTAGGAGTGCACAGGGGTGGGGTTTTAAGGACACCCAATAAAGGCTAGCATACCTCCCCCCACCCCAACAACCTTTCCCACACACTGTTAATTTTTTGATGATAAAGCAGTTAAAAATCTCACATTTTATTAGGTAGCACACACTGACTTCATCTTTGAGCCCTCCCACTTAACCTTCACACCCCTATTTAGCTCTCTTCCCCACCCCCATTTGAATACCCATAGACATGCCATTATGAGTGTCTACCCACCCTCGAAATTCTCCAGCTTAGCTTGAGTTTGTGACCGCCTTAAATAAAATTCCGGATTATCATCCTCAGCTTCAATGGCTTGGGAGTAGTACTATAAAGAAATCAAACAACAGGCATTAGTATGAGTAGACCTGGGAATTTCGTATGTTGAGCTGCATATCTTTAGCATGAAATTGTGCAGTGGTTATATGCTACACAGGAAAGATTCAACCAAATGTCAATTATAACTGCAGAAGCTGGTGGTGCAGCATGTAAGGCGTTGAACTTTCAATCGGAGGTCGGAAGTTCCAGACCGATGCTTGTTACGTTGCTTATGTACTTGGGCAAGACACTTCATCTGCCCAGGAGTATAAATGGGTACCTTGTAGGAGGTGAATAATTCGGAATGAATTAGTACACGCATAACTAGGAAGACTCCCAGAAAGCGGAGGAGGTTGCACGTTGTGTATGACTGATTCTGTATCAAATGACCAGGGAAAAAGCGCTGTAAGACTCTGGTAAATAGTGCTATATAAATGCTAAAATAAATTTAATTAAAAACAAATCCCCTGAAAATTCCAGTAGATATACAAAAGTCGTTAATCAATTAATAATGATAAAGAAATAAGCGTTTTTTAGTTGATAATAACATAAGAATACAAACCTGCAGTGCTTCTTCAAACTGCTCGTCTACATAAGCCTCATTTGCTTTACTGAAATGACAAAAAATATAATCATAGTGGCATATCAAGGAATTCTAAATAGAGGGGCCATCATCGATTTTAGCCTCATTTTGTCTGTATTTTAAAGTTTTATTTATTTGAATGTTTACTGCTTTCGTGTTCCGGGGGATTCCCCTGCAAAATATTTATATTCCAAACACCCTAAAATAACTTCTGAGGCGTTTGGGTGTTCAATTTTTTCTTTTTCTTTCTCTTTTTAACTCTCTAAAAAGGGGGCGCGGGCTGGGGCCGGCCCGCACACCCCCCCCCCACCCTCCAAATCCGCCACTGAATTTGCTTGGTGTTATATTGTTATTAGGCATACTATTATTATTTTTATTATTATTATTAATGTTTTTTAGCCTCATTTTGTCTGTATTTTAAAGTTATATTTATTTATTTGGTTTATTGCCATTTTGACTTATTGCCATTTTGACTTATTGCCACTTTGACTTATTGCCGTTTTGGACCATTGCCATCCTAGTAAAAAAGTGTTGCCGTTTTGGTCATTGCAGTTTTGACTTATTGTTGTTTTGACTAGAAAGCGAATGGAGATCGCTGCGCTAAACCGCCTTCCCCACTTAAAGTCAGGCTCAGGATGGAATTCATTTTTACTAACATGCCAGCTAGTCTGAGCAGCTGCAAGGCTAGACTCGATTAGTGCCTAGGCATAAGTGGTAGTTTCGTGACCTAGGTCTAGCCCTAGTGAGAGAGCGGCTCTGGCCATTATGATGATGCTAATGATGATGCTAATAAAAATGACATATGATATTGTGGTGGCCCCTACTACTACTACTAGTACTTACTAGCCTGTAGTTAAATAGAAATTAAAAGGCAATAATAGGCCTAGGTATATTTTTTAATTCTCGGACGACATTATCATTCCACAGATTATCCACCACTAAGCTATTATTGTCTTCGGGATTCCCCAATCAACAACGTTATCGTTACCCACACAGGCTAAGGCTAAGGCCAGACCTAGATCACTTCCTTTCATTAGAAATCAGCATCTACAACTGGGAAAGACGAGCTTAGGTAGGCGGGCTACTCAGCCCACAATTTTGAGGGACGCTTACAACATGTTAATTTTTGTTTTTAAGACCTATAGAATATATAGCTGTGCAGAAGTAATTTAGTTCATATATATTTCAAATAATACAATTGTTCGTACCTGTAAAATTCTGCCATTACGGCGTTAATCTGTGGCTGACCAAAACTTGCCCCTGATCGTTTGTGGTTGTAACCTTCTTACAGAGAAGTTTCTAGGCTCGCTCTCTCTCTACAATGCGATTGTAAAAACTCCCTCTATAGTTGTGCAATATTGCCGCACCAGGCACCTTGGTCTGTCGCGGTCCACTGTTGATCTCCCACCATCGCCCACCCACTCCCC